TATCAAGAAACAGTGGTTGCAATTTATTTTTTAACTCTGTTCCTGAGCATTATAATCCCAATTTGCTATTGTGTGCTGCGCATTTTACTGAGGACAGCTTCCACAACATGAGGGAGTACAGTGCCGGATTCGCCAAAAAGCTTTTGTTGAAAGACGGCGCAAGGGGTGTGTACTGAGTACTGAGACATCGTCTAAGCTTTTCACCAGTCACAATGCACTGGGACAGCTAGCCAATCACAACACATTTCGTTTTTCGGAAGACGGACCTTCATCAAAGCCGGAACTAATCGAGCCGTTTGTGCCAGGCTGGGGAGAAAGGTATTTTAATCATGTAAATTATGTGAAAAAATTATGCGTTTTTCGAACCACCAAGCATGAGAGCATGTTCTAGTACACCCCCAAAACAAAATCAAGACTTTGTAAAAGAGCATAATAGGACCCCTTTAAAGGAATTCCTTAGCGTATTGCTGTTACTGTGGCAGCCAACAACAGCACAGTTTAACCCTCCACACACATTTTTATATTTAGTTATATTGAAAAAGTTTCAATTCAGTCGATGTTTTTTACCCTGTTTTAACATGGATTTCTATGGAGATCAGATGTAGCTGTTGGACAAGATGGCGGATAGCAGCGGCGGCACATAATATATCCACATTCTGATTGGTCAGACCCCCTGTCTATCATGCTCCCTGTGAATGGTAAATTGTGTAGTTGATCAAACAAACCAACATATTTAAAGGGTTAGTTCACCCAAAAATGAAAATTAGACTGTGTTTTACTTACCCTCGAAGCATCTTAGGTGTATATGACTTTCGTCTTTCAGACGAATCCAGTCGGAGTTATATAAAAAATTGTCCTGGCTATTCCAAGCTCTATCATTGCAGTCAGCGGGTGTTGCAGTTGAACAGTCCACAAGTCGTCAAATAAAGCGAGTGCATTCATAATAAAACATGCTTCCCACGGCTCCGGGGGGTGAATAAAAGCCTCCTGTAGTGAATGCATGTGATTTTTTAAAGAAAAATATCTATATTTCAAACGTAATAAACACTTTTCTCTCATTTCCAGCAGTGCTTGAAGTGGGCCGGTACGCAGGCACTTCTATATTTTAGCCTTTAAAGTACCTGCACTTTTTTGTGCGTGCCGGCACTTCTGACATGTTGCCGGTACCCAGAGTAAAAGCGTCAGAGTCTGGGTTATATATGATCCCATATATGATTTGAAATGACACTATATAAATCACACTACCCAGGCGGGATAACCTCTCATCTCGACCAATCACGTGAATGAATGCAAGCGGAGTGTGTGGGGTGCGAGAGCATGTCAGGGGAAGCACGCAGAGCAGTAGAATAATAATTAATTATTGATTACTAATTTGAATCAGTACTTTATAACAAAAATAATATCTTAAAAATGAAAAGCAGCAGGCTTTTGCAATCACATAATTTTAAACCGGTAAACTCCTGTACAGTCCAAGGAGCCAGTAAATTAATTCAAACGGTAAGTTCAAAACAGCGCTAATGCAGAGAAAACATGGCCGATTTCATCAGCGATTGCAGAGAGAATAGTGACTTACCTCCAGATATCAGTAAAATTATTCCTTTCAGCGTGTATTTGCCTTAAAAGCAAGAGTGTGAACGCTGATTATCCAGTGGTCAGAGATTTAGCGATTCTGAATGGATCCATATAGTAGTAAGGGCAGGCGATTTAGTGGTCTTTGGCGTCTCCCTGTGGTCATGTCTGGAATCGCAGCTTGAATGAATGAATGAATGATGCATTTTTATAGCGCTTTGTGTATTGTTGTACACCCAAAGTGCTTTACAATCATGTGGGGAGTCTCTCCTCAACCACCACTAGTGTGCAGCATCCACTTGGATTAAACCGGTAAACTCCTGTACAGTCCAAGGAGCCAGTAAATTAATTCAAACGGTAAGTTCAAAACAGCGCTAATGCAGAGAAAACATGGCCGATTTCATCAGCGATTGCAGAGAGAATAGTGACTTACCTCCAGATATCAGTAAAATTATTCCTTTCAGCGTGTATTTGCCTTAAAAGCAAGAGTGTGAACGCTGATTATCCAGTGGTCAGAGATTTAGCGATTCTGAATGGATCCATATAGTAGTAAGGGCAGGCGATTTAGTGGTCTTTGGCGTCTCCCTGTGGTCATGTTTGGAATCGCAGCTTGAATGAATGAATGAATGATGCATTTTTATAGCGCTTTGTGTATTGTTGTACACCCAAAGTGCTTTACAATCATGTGGGGAGTCTCTCCTCACTAGTCACTAGTGTGCAGCATCCACTTGGATGATGCGACGGCAGCCACAGGACAACGGCACCAGAGCACACACCACACACCAGCTACAGGTGGAGAGGAGAGAGAGATAGAGCCAATTCAGTGAATGGGGATTATTAGGAGGCCATGAAAGACAAAGGCCAGGGGGGCAATTTGGCCAGGACACCAGGGTTACACCCCTACTCTTTACGAGAAGTGCCATGGGATTTTTAATGACCACAGAGTCTGGACTTCAGTTTAACGTCTCATCTGAAAGACAGTGCTTTTTCTTCTCTCTCCGCATTCATCACACAACGACTGTCAGGGATCTGGAAGGAGGACCCATAAGCAGATTGAGTGATGAGGGTTTATTGACAAAACAGACTGATACAAGAGGGTAGTGAGGTGCACAGGTGATACAACATCAGGAACACAGTAAACAAAGAGGCAGCTAGGGAAGACCACTGGAACAGTTTCGGACAGCAACTGGCAGATTACAATAGCAGCAGAAGGAGCGGCACGACCAGGCAGATAGAGAGGGCCAAGCAAGGCACCATAGAGCTGAGCTCAGATACTTGTTGAACGCCGACTCTGAAGCGGACCAAGTAATAGGCAGGGTGAACCAGTGGCAGGACTCACAGGCACAGGTCAGGACGGGAACTCGAACACAAAGAAACAAGACAGGACAAAGATCAACAGGAACACAATTACTTCAAAACAGGCAGGGGGATAAATAACACAAAGAACTGATTTAAAAAAAAGTAACAAAATAAGAAATAATTACCAATCTAACCAACACAACTAACAAAGAATATCAAACAAAAATGCAAAACAGAAGATCAGGACTAGAAGAACTGGATAAATAATAAAAAAGTGACAAAAGGCAAAACAAGGAGCAAGACAAGAACAAGGAACTACAAAGGACTAGACAAGACAAGGACACAAGACCAACCAGGCAGGGAGACAAGAACACACACTCAGCCACAGACAGAAACAAAAACAGTGATAGAAGGGGTGAAAATGACCACAAACTGGCAAAAACAAGAGGGCAGGGGGAACTATAAATAGGGAGGAAAGCACAAGAGGAACAGGTGAGAGCAATTACACTAACAAGGACTCAACAAGGGCTAACAAGAGGGTATGGTAAAGAGGAAACCAGGAGGAGGGGCTAGAAAAGCACATGGCTGAGAAAAACAATCAACGAGGCCATGTGCTGACACAAGACAACATAGACACAAGAAACAAACACAAGACAAACAGAGTGTTAGGGCAAAACCCTGACAACGCCGACGTACTACGTCATCCACCGGAACGGCTTCTGCGTATGACAGATACGGGAAGTGAGAATAAAGTGTTTATTACGTTTGAAATATGGATATTTTTGTTACAAAAACACATGGATTTGCTACAGGAGGCATTTATTCACCCCCCGGAGTCATCTGTGGCACGTTTTATTATGGATGCGCACACTTTATTTGACGACTTGTGGACTGTTTAACTGCAACACTGCAATGATAGAGCTTGGAATAGCCAGGACAATTTTTAATATAACTCAGACTGGATTCGTCTGAAAGAAGAAAGTCATATACACCTAGGATGCCTGGAGGGTGAGTAAAACACAAGCTAATTTTCATTTGTGGGTGAACTAACCCTTTAATAGTTCTCCCTATAGAAACATGGGTATTGTCGCTATAATATTTTTAAAAGAATAATTTAAAGATTTTTTAACACAATTGTCTACTTTCCACTGCTGGGCTCAAACTTTGCATTTTGCAAACAAACAATTCTGCCGGTGTGACCACCACGTTACCCAACTCATAAGAGCGGCCATTTCTGTTGCATATGAGAAACATCAAACGGCAAATAAAACAAAAGCGTAACAGAACCGCGCTGCTCGTTTGTGCTGCGCAGCACGGACCGTTTAGCAGCTCGGACCAATAATTGAGCGTAACGCAAGCAAACTGGTCCAAGCTCAGAACAGGTTTATTCAGGAACCAATGTTGATCTCGCGACACGGTTACTGCACAGCGCTGCGAGATCCAGTGAGAAGAGTTTGAACTCACTGCAGAATAAATAAGGTTGCTGCGAGATCTAGTGAGAAGTGTTCAAATTCAGCACAGAGTTCTGCTATGAACAGATCAAACAGTGCTGACGCAGAAACCCAGAAGCAGTAATGCTAACTATAACCATGGTGTTGTGGCAGAAATTGTCCAATGTTATTACATCATTAATTTCAGGGTTTGTCCAACCTTTTGAGAGAGAGATTTAAGCACTTTTTAACAACTTAACTATTTCACATTAAAAAAAAAATCTTAATGGGACAAAACACAATGTATATCAAAATTGCAACGCTTATGCAAAATAAATACAAAATACATAAAATTACCACTATAACCAGTAGATGGCAGCGGAGGAGCACTTTTTCGCTTATTAGTCATTCATTTCTGTTTTGCTTTATATATTAAAAATTCTAAAGTTGTATTCTAATAATGGTACATTTAGTAAGAGTAGAATATATACATTTTTCTATATGAAAATTTCATAATCGGGACATTGCCTAAGAATTGTCGGAAGGGGAAAAATCGGCCCCAAATCAGCCCGATTATCTTGTGGTGTGTACCCAGCATTACACTGGAGCCCTGCACTGTTACATCAGGGTTCACTTTTATTTTCACATTTCTCAGCTTTTTACAAGATACTGAAAATGAACTATTTTTTACTTTTATTTCAGAGTTGATTGAAGAAAACGATGAGAATAAAGAATCAAGTGAAGTTGAGGAGAAAAATCATGTCAAAACTGGAGAAAAACTTTAGAGTTGCTCTCAAACCAAACGAGAAGGAGAATAAGAAGGATTTAAAGAAAAGAAGAGCCAATAAATCTTTCACCTGCACTCAGTGTGGAAAGAGTTTGACAAGCAAAACAAGTCTTGAGCATCATATGAGAGTTCATGCTGGAGAGAAACTGTTCACTTGTGATCAGTGCGGGAAGAGTTTCACACAATCATCACACCTTAAGAAACACATAAACATCCACACTGGAAAGAAGCTGCACACATGTGATCAATGCGGCAAAACGTTTTTGTGTGCTTCAGACCTGAAGACACACCTGAGAGTTCATACAAAGGAGAAGCCAAATTCATGTCATTTGTGTGGAAAGAGTTTTTTACATTTACAAAGTTTAAAGGAATAGTTCACCCAAAAATGACAAATTTGTCATAATTTACTCACCCTCATGTTGTTCCAAACCTGTATGAGTTTCGTTGTTATGTTGAACACAAAAGAAGATATTTTGAAGAAATTTAAAAAACCAAACAGTTGTTGGTCCCCATTGACTTCCATAGTAGAAAAATAAATACTATGGAAGTCAATAGGAACCACCAACTGTTTGATTACCAGCATTCTTCAAAATATCTTCTTTTATGTTCAAAATAAGATAGCGACTCATACAGGTTTGGAACAACATGAGGGTAAGTAAATGATGACAACATTTTCATTTTTGGGTGAACGATCCCTTTAAAAGGACATAAGACAATACATACTGGTGTGAAAGAGTACATGTGCGTTGAGTGTGAAAAGACTTTTACTTCAGCGAGCATTTTAAAACTGCATGAGAGGATTCACTCTGGAGTAAAACCTTACAAGTGTTCACACTGACAAGAGATTCAGTCGGTCAGCAAATCTGAAAACACACGAGAGGATCCACACTGGAGAGAAACCGTATCACTGCACTGCATGTGGGAAGTGTTTCAGTCATTCATCTTCTCTACTCAGTCATACAAAAAACTATCATAGTAAGTAGATCATATTCAAATCAGCACTTTCAGGTCTGACACGCGTCCTCTACAAATGTAACACAATAATGCATCAAGCAATAAAATATAATCTGGATAAATCTGTTCTAACCAGACATTGCAAGTGACATGACAAAGAAACATTATCTAAAGTTTTCAAAGTGAATAAAGTTCATCTTCATCTTCAAAAACAGCAGATTCAACTGAGATTCAGATCAACTCAAAGATTGAGTTCCTCCCCAAAGAACAATATCAAAAATAGTTTTTTTTTCTTGTATATAATTTTGCTTTATGATATAAATTATATCATTGTGCTTTCTTATGCGTTTTATATTATGTTCAGTTGTCTTATAATGCATATGTGTCAGCTGTAGTGATGGCGAAGTGAAGTGTTCTGAACCAGTGAAGCTTTCATCACAATTGTATCGGAAAAAGGTTAATTATTCGAAGAGTTTTAAAACGGTTTATTCTGCGGCCATCTAGTGGTCATAAAAATAAATAACACCTTCCAAAGTGTTATGTTCCATTACAGCCACACTGTAACTGATTTTTATCATTTGAACAGTATTATACTGTAATATGTAGAGATACTGTAAAATGTGTTTACAGTATTTTACTGTAAACCGCAAAGGATTATGGGAAAATATACGGTCACTACTGTATTTCCTCACTACTGTAAATCAATTTACAGTAGTGAACTTGCCCGCGAAAAACTGACCAATGGCAAGGGAGATTTATTTTTTGTCTGTTTGATGGAAGTGGCTGTAAAAGGACAAAAGAGAAGTGCACCGTTAACTCGACGAAAGGTTAGTATATTATTTCTGTTTTATGCAAAACTGCGATATTTTAAGATGTTTTCACTTGTTAACAGCAAACTAACATTATTCATCGTGTCATTTTTCATGTCGGGAGTTGGAGCCTTTTTTTCTGACTGACGGCCGGAATGCCGCCAAAAGGCTGATAACATCGACTGGTGAGTAAGTTAAGGTCTGCTATATTAGTCGAAATAAACCTTAGTTAAACCGAGAAACACGTTTGTACGTTCTGCTGCCCTTTAATGCAAGTTAGCTCCTCTGGTGAGTCGTTATTTAACCTTAACAGCGAATTAACGTGAAATACTGAGGTAAAGTGCGTTAGGCAAACCACTGTCTCAGTGGAGATATTAAACAGTATTTTCTAGTACTTCTTTTGTTTGTTATTTTCAGATTTGTAGTCTGGATGTAGTCTGCAATGTCGGAGGTGTATTTTGGATCCTCCTCTTTTGAATGCCATAGTATCGATGATAACATCAACTGGTAAGTTAATAATGTAATTTAGCCGAAGTTAACTAACTTAGTTGAACAAAGAGAAGCATAGTAAGTTATCTTCTCTACTCTGCCTCTTTATCGCAAGTAACTCTGCCTCTTTATTTGCTAATTCTCTTCAAATGCTATTTAAGTCAGAAAGTGTGTACCAATGTCGTATGTAACTTTAGAGACGGTCCCTAAATTCAGTGACAGACGTAACGGTAACATAAAACAGCGCTAACAACCTACTGAGGAAAACTGAGTGAAGAAACACCACTGTTAAGAACATCTTTTGTATTTTATTTTAAAGTTTGTGGTCATGTCATCTGCATCGGAGGCGTATTGGAGTCTTGTGATTGCCTCGTAGCGGTGCTAACAGCAGGTGAGCTTCCATCAGCTTAACTAACATTAATGTTACTAAATTAGCCAAATTAGCCTCTAGCTGCTGTTCTCCACTAACTCACAGAACAGGCTGACTTTGAGAGGAACATGCTAGCACATGTTGAATAAACATGAGCACTGCACGTTTCAAAATCGAAACCCGGTGCGGGTGTTTTTATATCACTGTATTTCTGAAGGAAACTCATTTTCATTTCTTCTTGCTTGTAATGTCTGATAATACAGCATTTGTGAGTGGTGCACAATCAGCTTGTAACACTCCAAAGAGAAAGGAAAACTTGAAATCGCATCATATGACCCCTTTAAGTAAAAATCATGGTTTACAGTGCAGTACCACAATTTGATTGTTTTTTACAGGTAAAATTTGTTTTAAACTAAATGAAAATAAACTACAGTAATAATACTGTAAATAAAATACAGTAAAGACGTATTGTTTACTGGCATCCAGCTGCCAGTAAGTTACTGTAAAATTTACAGCAACCTATTTACAGTGCAGTGGTTTCACATCTGGTTCTACTACAGATTACAGTCTAAGGACTGAGGCAAAGTTCATTTTTGTGCTCAATATATAAATTATGATTAAAAAAAAACAATGCTAACACATTATAATGCAATATAATGTAAAGGAAACGGCGCTGAGATTTACTTAGTTTGAACCCGATACTGAAGCAGTCACGTGGTTTTCAGGCGAATGAAGCTTCGCACGTCATAGATCACATGCTTTTCTCAAAACGGATCAAGCTCCGATACAGTAGGCTTGTTTGAGATGCGCCTCGCCTCACCTGAAATGTAGGCGAGATTTCAGCGGATTAACTTGCACGGATTAATTGTTCACATCAAGACTAGCAATGTGCGCTAGTAAAGTAAATAAAGTCAATTTTGATTTCATGCGGACTTTAAAATAGGATTTTTTTCCAATCAAAATTTTTGATGCATTGCAATTTCATAATTCTTGTTACCAATTCCAATATCACAAAATAATAATAAAAAAATACTAGCCTACGTAAAAGCAAACCCAGGTGAAAAAGACGTAGTATTGAATGTATTAAAAATATACTTGAAATTCAAGTAGTATGTTTATAATACATTTGTATTCCCAACATGCTTATTTCAAGTGCAATAAACATATATTGAATTGCATTTTAATATATTTCTAAAAAGTATACTAGAAGTACTGTTGTATTAAATATATGCTTAGTTATACTTCTAAAAAATATGCTAAACAGAAGCATACTTTTAATGTATTTATAAAAAGTATACTAGAAATACTTTGGCAATAAATATATGCTTAGTTACACTTTTAAGGAATATGCTAAACACAAGCACACTATAGTATAGTATATTTCTAAAAAGTATAGTAGAAATACTATGTTAATAAATATATATTTAGTTACACTTTTAAGGGATATACTAAACACAAGCATACTTTGTGACTTTTTAGTGTATTTACAGAAAACATACTTACGTTACCCTTACTTAAAGTATATTTTATGTCTACTTTGTGTAAAAACATAACAAAACGATTACACGTTTAGTGGGTTTTTAATGTACTTTATATTGCAGTAGACCTACACATGGTTATATTTTAAATATTTATGTATTTATAATTTTAATATTTGGAAAAGTACAATATTTTGAAAAACATTTTTAACATTTACAATGTACAAACGTTTGTCAACTATTATTAAGCATTGCGATATTTAAAATATGTTGTTTAATATGTTGTTCAGTTTTACTTAAAACGTTATGCTACTTTGGTTGATTAGGCTGTTGTTCATTACATGATACATTAATTGTAATAAGCTAGGTGTTTATAAATTTGTTCAAGCTGGACGCCTTTATTTTCTAATATATATTTCTAAAATTCCCACAAGGATTTCAACATCATATACGAAAAAAAAAAAAACAAAAAAAAAAACTTGGGCGTACTTGTGTTTAAATTCAAACACACCGACTA